CTTCACCACAGAACATTTGCAAAAGCAAACTGCAGATGCTTCCTCAATTTTTAGTCATACGATCCTTAATTTAAAATGTGTTTCTTTTTAAAACGTGGCCTATAAACATGCTTGAGGGGAGCTCAACACAGTCGTTTAGGAAACAGAAACTTGAGACATGTGGTTGAAATATGGCGGGGAGAAAAATAGAACGCATCGTATTAATGACATTAAGAGTAATTTCAGATGCAGTTTTCTTATTTTTTTCCTCTTTGAATGGGATTCTGGAGAGCCAAGGGACAAAGGCAACAAGGTACCTGGCCAACAAGCTAACTGATCTTGCAGTTTGTAATTTATTGTTTGTACTTAGCTTTAAGGTTGTAAACCAAACCCTTGTGAGGTAAAGCACTCAAGCAAACAACTGTCAAACTGTTTATCTGGTGTTCTGATCTTCAGGATGACCAAGGAAATGGTTCTTTTCCTGTATGTATCTACTGCCTATAGGTGATCAATTAGTGAACTGGTAGAGTTTGTCATATTAACTGGTGTATTTCACAAGGAGGAAAAATATGTGCAAGCAGTGCAAAATCTTATACTGAGATATTGCAGTTTGAGTCCCTTGTAATAGTTGCATTAACTGTCAGCTTCAGCAGAGGGAGGACCAAAGGGATGGTAAGGCGGGACATCAGAGTTGAATGTCTCATTGCTGAAGAACTCGTTGTGTTTAGGGATCTGCCTCTGCCAACCTGAAAAGAGCTTTGCTGTGGGGAGCCTACTGTTTACTGCCAGCATACCCCACACCGAGAAATAAGAGAAGGAAATCAGTGTGCTACAAAATAGTTTCATCTCTAGTTTTTGCACGATTCATAGTGGCCACTCTGGTAGAGAAGTTCCAGATCAAGCTGATATTTAAAACTCACCAGCCTAAACGAGGCCCAGGCATCGCTCCTTCCTTTTCTATAGCCAAAGTGTGTTTGCGCCTTCTGTCCAGCCACGCACACGGGCTTGCCTGGAGCTAGCAGGACTTCTCACTTAGCCAGGATGCCATGTAAGGACATGTTGCTTCAGGAGGGAGACAATTCCTTGTTGGACTACCCCATAACAGAGTGACTGGCAGGTCTTGCCAGGCGTGCAATGTATGCTCGGGCACTGCCTACCCACTCTGCTCCCACAGGCTGGGAGAGGGGCTTCTGGGCAAAATTCATGCCCTTTCCCAACACTTTTGTTGGCACAGGGAAGGTGCCTGAGGAGCAGACACCAATTTCCTCAGTGCTGAGGCTCTTATGTCTTCTAGTCATAGCTAGGGGGAGCAAGGAAAATACACTCGCTTCAGGTCCCCTTGGTAGCCACATTAGCCAGCCACAGCCTTGCCCTGGGGAGCCTTAGCCGATGGATTTTTCCCTCACGATGCTGTAGAATGACAGGCGACCTCTAATGTCATGCAACATTCTGCAGTGCACCATGCATTGGATTTTAATTTGAAAAATAGCATTAATAATCCTGGATGAAAGTCTAAGCTTCTGTGTCTCTTACTTTCTTAGGAGGAGGGATGTTTTCAGGGCTTCTATGTCAAAAACTGTTCACAGCCTTTTAAAATACCACACTTTCGTACACATCTTTCTTAAATCACTTCCTCCAGGTCCAGGTATAAGTCCAAGTTAGATATGCAGTTGGCTCCTTGCTTTCAGAGCTCTGCTCTGGGTCATGGCCAAGTCCCTTGCAAATAAATTGTTGGAGGTTTTCTGCAGGCAGCAAAGAAAGGCTACCGTAACCACCTCTGTTACTCATCAGCTAATTTACTGGAGACCTAGAGACTTCTGCGACTGGCCAAATATTCTTTCTGGAGAGAAAAAGCATTCCCTAACATAAAATAATTAAAAAGGCATTACAGTTTGCCAAATGATGTATCCAGACTGATAGCAGCGTAAAGAACAGTCTTTTAATCTTTTGCCATTGTAGAAGACTACAGATTCTGCCAAAAAGTTACTGAAGGCAGTAGGTGTATATGGGAACAGCATCAATTATTTAGTCATCCTGAGGATCAGAATTCCAGATGAAATTCTGACTAGTGAAATGAAAACTATCTTCCCTTCCCTCATCCTCTTGTTTTGTTTACAGGAGAATGTAGAATCAGTAAAAAGTCAATAAAAATTCAGAAGGTGAAGGTAAATCTAATAAATTGGGTATAATAAGTTCTAAGGGATTTTCTCTAAAACTTTCCTCAGGTATTGACAGAAGGGCAAAGACTGATTGCAACAAGTATTTGGTGTGTTAATGACGCAAAGTGTACTCGGTATGAGAAAAGTACGTGTTTTACAGCAGATATTGGGATGGTACTGGGAAGTGATATTTCCAATTTAGTCCAGACTTGCTGCAGAGTGCTTATGGATTGCGGACTTTATAAGCAAGAGCATTCACTGAAAAAGCAAACAGGAAACCGCATTTTAAAAATGATAGCTGAACATATGGAAGTTTTCACTTGCGTGTTGTGAAGTGAGGAGCGTGTCACCAACAGGCAGTGCTGTAGCTGATCCTGTATCACAGCAGACTCCAAAGCGCTCTCCTAGTCTAAACTGTAGTAAAGAGCTGATGACTCCAGTGAAAGCTGGGCTACAAAGCTGGGGAGCCACTCTGTAATGATGTACAGATACGCGTGTTTTGACCTACAGTGTTTACTATTCAGATGTGTTTCTTTTATCTAGTAAGAGGCTATGGAGAAAAAGCAAGCAGGAATATTCACAAATGGCCCGAAGAAGGCCATCTACCAGCAAGCACTTGAGATTTCATAAAGGAAAATGCTCAAAATACTAGCTTTGAAATCTTTTGCTCCTTCACTAGTTAAGAGCAAAGTTGGCTTTCCTCATACGAGCTGAGACTAGCAGCAGTCAAAAGTAAAGTGGGTGTTTTTAGAGTAAAAAGGGCTTTCAACAGGGTTTCTCTTACGGAGGAGAGGAATTTGGAAAAATCAAGCTACAAGTATCTGTAGAAGGCATAAAAGTTTCCCTTGCAGAGAGATGCTATTATGAGATGCCTGCAGCTGCAGATACACTCATTCTGGGATGTCTGAGTCGTAGGCTATCTGCCGAAGTTATTACGCAGGGGCGATGAAAGCGCCGGGCCCCAAGCAGCAGGATCCCGTGCGGACTGCTCAGCCTCCCGATGACCCAAACGGCGTGTTCCGTCGGGATGCAGCCAGAGTGAAGGCACATAGAAAACAGCAGCACAAGTCTAGAACGAGGTGGCCCCAGATATTTCCACAGGGCTGTGCGTTTACACTCACTGAAGCCGGTGTCCGTGGATATAGGGGCTAAAGACGCCGGGGGAATGTGCAGGACTGTCTGCTAGATTTAATAGAAGCTTGTTTTTTTTTTAATAAAACCCAAAACAACTGTCTAGCCTGCTAGAGGGGATGGCCACCAGTGCCGTGCGTGCGTGAGCCTGAGCCTCTGCGCCATTCAAGCGGTTAC